AAAAAGAATCGATTCTCAAATAATCGAATCAGAATCGCGCATCACTAATCAGTAGCGAGCAGCGAGCGTCGCGAGCGATCGGCAGCATTCGTTTTCCCTCCAAATAAATGGAAGGCAAGGCAATGGGCACGGCGTAAATATTTAAAAGAACGTTTCCCTTGAGACTCGAGACAAACGGGAATGGAGATCTGAAAGAATCTAAGGGGTGGGAGACTTTCCTCGTTGATGAGACCCGAGTCCCGCGCGACGAGAGCAAGGAAAAAGACTCAAGACTCACCTTTTGTCACCGTTGGTGGCTTCTGGAATGACGCGCCTCGAGCACGGTCCCGATCAACGGCATTAGCGGTATCGCATCGACATCCATTCAGGTTCGAGGCTTTTCTTCAATTTCAATAAAACGCCCGATCGCTTGTCAATGCTGATCGAGGCTCTTTTGTTTGCGATATTGCGATTTTTCTCCCTCCCCCTCCCCCTTGCCCCGTCCCGTCCCGTCTTCCCCCACGGCCTGTGAGGAACTATGTTTTGACCATCATGGTTTCGACTACTGACTCGCGGTGCTTTTGACGTGATTCTCTTCACGCGTGACGACGCGTTTACCAGGTGAATTTACCGATCTCCATCAGATCGTTCGCGGCCGTTCGCGCGTGCATTTGTCTCGCCGATTGCGTCACGGCTCGCCGATCTCGGCGGCGCGAGTCGCTTGTTGCTACCCTGATTTGCCGATCGTCATCCCGTGGCCCGTGGCGTCGCTCTAATTGCTCGCTGTCTTCTGTTTATTCAGGCACACGATGTCCGCCAAGGGCAGCCCGTCCACTTCCAAGGTCTGTTCCTTCTGCAATTCGAAAGAGGACAATGAGGTGGAGTACGGAAAGATCTACGAGCACGATGGGATCGTTACGCACTACTATTGTCTGGTAGGTCGCCGTCCGCGAGGCAATCTCGATACCTCTGATCTCCACTTGTTTCTATCTTCTCTACGCTAATTGTTAATAAGAATGCGTAATCTAGAAGAGGCCTAGAACTGCCTGTTGCGTCGCTGCTTATCCACACGAATTTCCTTACAGCTCTTGTCCTCGAACATGGAACAGAAGGGAAATGACGACGAAGGCATACTCGGATTCCTGGCGGAAGACATACAAAAAGAGCTTCGCAGAGGAAAGAAATTGGTACATATCAATAGAAGTAGCATAATACCAGTTCTATATGTTGCAGTCTGTTAACATTTTCATTGCAAACAGTTATGTTTGTGTTTGTCGTTGTGAACTTGATGAACGTTACGATGAGTACGTCTTAATGATTTTAGCCGTGCTCGTACTGCAAGAAAATCGGTGCTACTTTGGGCTGCTGTAATGTAAAGTGTAAACGGATTTTCCACTTTCCCTGTGGCTTGAAAGCTGGTTCTCTACATCAGTTTTTCGGTGAATTTAGGTAAGGGGGAAAAGTACCGGATTGGGCTGATCGATATTGGGATTGCCATGTTACCATTCAAGTTAATTTATTTGAAATGTTTCAGATCGTACTGTGTAAATCATAGGCCGAAACAAAAGATCGACGATCAGATTTTAAAGCAAATTCGCTCTGTAGATAGTGTATTATGTTATATTTGTTATGACAAAATTAACACTAATGACTTTGTGAAGACCTTGTGGGCCCCCTGTTGTAGAAAGGACGCGTGGTTTCATCGTAATTGTGTTCAGGTTAGTCCTAATAGCGGCTTTATTTCATTCATAATACGAATACAGAATATATATATGTATACCTAGATGAACTCTCTCATTTCAGCAACTTGCTTTAAGCGCAGGATATTTTTTCAAGTGTCCCTTATGTAACAATAAGAAAGATTTTCAAAAGGCTATGCAGGAGTACGGTATTTTCGTGCCGAGCCAGTAAGTAGGAACAAAATTTGACGATTACTTTTTTATTTTTCATTTGCAATTTCTCAAGTTCTATGAACGTTAATTGTTGGTGCAAGATTAAGAATGCACAGAAATTATTTTTAGATTAAAATTAGTACTATTGATGTTGCCTGCCAATCACTTATAAAGAGTATCCAGTTCGATGGTAAGAACCTGAAACATGGAGGTAGATTCGGTTAAACTGAAAAGAAAGTCTTTTACCATTTTGCAAAACTCGCAATAGTTATTGAGTTATTAATTAAAATTTCTCAGCGTATGAGAAACGGTAGGTCCGACTCTGTAGGCATGCTTGATAGATTAGTTGTTAGATCTAGCAACAGTGTCGTCACGCGTCGTTGATTGTTTATAACGATGTCACATATTTCGCCGCTTGCTGCGTGACTTGCTATCAGATGACGCTCACCATTGCTAAGAAATTTAACAACTAAAAATCATTTTACGTGCCGTCTTTCAGGTTCTTAACCATCGAACCATTCATGCTGTATATATCGTACATACAATATATACAGAAGTAAGATACAAAATAGCATATGAGAATATTTTTTGTTGTAAAATTAGAGATGCTTCGTGGGAATTAGTACCAAACGCATTCGAAGAGCTTTTGTACAGGCACGATCAGTGCGACGCACCAAAATGTCTCTGTCCAAAGGGAAGGAAGCATATAAGTAACAATGCGTAAGTAATAGTTGCTTATAATAATATTAAAGCTATATACGGTGTGAGAAGCATTACAGAATTTTCTTGAAATATTTAGTAAATGGGAGTTGACGCTATGTCGAACTTGCGGTTCGCAAGGCATCCATATGGCTTGCGGACAGTTAATTTGGGCTAATCCGGCATGGGAATGCGAGGAGTGTACTTCCATATTGAGTGAGTATCTCATAAAAAAAAAAATATATTGCAATTATGACATTTTTAATCTTGTGTATTTCTTTCGTGAAGGTAATTCCAAACACAATGAAGCACATACAAGACTGGGCGATAGTTCTGAAATAGTTGGGTATGCATCATGGTTTTTATTCTTGGTCCCGGTCTACAATAGGTGTTTTAAGCCCTAAGCCTTAAGAAATAGTTCAATCACAGTTGAATTTGAGGAGAATAATTGACTGTGATGGGTCAATTTCTTAGGGCTTAGGGCTTAAAACACCTATCGTAGACTGGGACTTACAGATTGAAAGTTCCTAAAATATTTATCTTGAAATATGATAATTGAATAATTTACATCTCTCGGCAGCAATGTCCAATTTATATGTCTATTTTTGCTTTTAGTTCTAGTCAAAATAAAGAGCCTGATCCAGACGTACAATTAGATTCAAGCTCGGACTCAGATTTATTTTTAGATTCAGATTTGAACAGTGATGCAGAAACAGATATCTCTGTAGGAACTGAATTGCCCACACGATTATTGTCTAACAGTTCACCTTCCACCTCTTTGCTGGATTCTGTTGCGGACACTAGCGTGCGACCTGGGCCACGATCTTTTAAGTTGCAACAAGAAATGATCAAGCTAAGCAAATGGTTGATAATAATGATAATAATAATAATAACTGAAAGTATTCCGATTTTATGAAATGTATCTTAACGTAACTTGCTATGTTATTTTGCAGCTTGGAATTGACAAATACTGAAAGGAATGTAACTACTGAGGTCAGTCCAAAAAATATCAACGAATCATCAAATAATGACGATGACAAAAAGGAGCTATCGACTGTTCTTCCGCAAGAAAATAAGGTAATTGGTTCTCAAGAAAAAAGACAGTCGTCTAGCAAAAATGAGGAAAAATCTCAACCGACTCGGAAGGAGGCGGATGTTATCACACTTGATGAAAGTGACGATGACGAGGTGCAGGTAAATAATTAAAGTACATTGATTTTAAAAAGTCCAACTATGCTTTTACCTATTAACTATTTTTAATAGTTTATCTATTTTAATTTTTAATAGTTAATGGTGAAAAGCATCCGAATTTTCGTTAAACACAATTGTGTGCGTTATCGAAAATTTATTGATTTTATTTAATTTGCTTCTATTACAGCTTGTTACGGTAAAACGAAGAATAAATGTACCTACGCTTCAATCAGGTAGCTCGCGGGACTCTTGCGCATCGACGTCGAAGAAGACTGAAACGCTATTAAAATCGCTATTAAACACAAAAAAAAAATCTGCAACATCCAAGAGCCAAAATGTAATGACATTAGATTTAGCGAAAAATGATAATATCAATGTACCAAAACCTATATCAGAGCCAGAGGCTTCGAGCAAAAATGTATCTACCATCTCGGATCAACTCGGTGTAGCAGCGGCACGAAAATCCACGTTAGATCTAGTTGCTTCGAATGGTAATAATTTGGAGGAAACAAATGTGGCTGGTACAGACGATACAGACGAAACGTCTGTTATGAATATCAAAATTACTAACGTTACTTCTTTGCCACCTGAAGTCTTCGAGAGTGTACCTGATGTATGCGATAACGTCACATTTAAGAATAGCACCTCGTCTATATCTGCAGATACAGTGTATACGCAACTTTTGACACGTGACGACCTTACCGTATCGACGAAGCGTAGCTTGCACGAAGGTAAATTCGACAAAAGAAAGCTGGAAATATGTATATTGTTATACCGTAATTGATAACGTTATATTATATGTTGCAGCGAGTGACGCTATTGACAACCACAAGAAGATTAAAAGAAACAGTTTTGACGAAAGCGTTATTTTCACAAACAAAATAAATAATATAATGAATCCAAATCACACAATTAATAGTACAAATAAGCAGCAAAACGAAAGCACATCTTTAAGAAAGTCCAGCGAGATTGGAAAAAATGATAGTCTCTTGAAATGTACATCCATAACTACAAACGGCATTGCTATTCCGATGTTAAACGAACCTACAAACAGCATTACTATTCCGCTGTCAAATAATCGTAACTTGTCTGCACAATCCATGCCGCTTCATAAGGATGATGTGCATCATGTCCAGTGCAGCATATCAGGAAACAATGTGTCCGTTAACGCACAACAAAGCAAAGAAAATTCTGTTGCACATAGAAGTACGGAATATCTGGCCATTGGCAAGAACAATCCAGTTTATTTGCAAATGCCGATTTATCTGCAGCAAATACCAAACCCATTTGCAATTAGTCAAAGTGCGGTAACGCCAGAGAAAACAAATGTATATACTGCTATACCATCGAGTAGCATAATTCTGCCGCGCGTGACGGATAATATCACTGTGCTTAGCAATCAACCTATGCTTAGCAACCCAACTGTGGTTTTAAATCAACCAATAATGGCCAGTGTAACTGCGCCCATTCTGACCAACGCTCAATTAGCTGTAAATCAGCAAGAAGCTGCCTCGAAGGGAAATATATTCGTTACTACATCCAGTGCTGGGAATGATTCCTCAAACAAATCCTACGTAAGTAATTCACTAAGAACTCCGAAAATTGTTACGTTGAACGTTCGCACAACAAAAATTGGTTATTAAACGTTGGAAAATATCTAAGAGAAACTTGCAGATACTTAATATGATTAACGTTAGAAAAAATATTTTTGTACAATAAACTCTCGTAATAAACCCACGCGTTTTTAATCGAGTATAAAGTATAGAAATACATTCTGGTGAGAAACATGGTGCGGGGAGAGTATGTGTTGTCAAATCAATTTCCCCGTACCTCCTCTCCAGTGTATATCTTGCGATTCTAACAGTGTGACGGGGATGCAGGCACCCGGCCTGCTGAGGTCGATTCGGCCGGCCAGAAGAGGGACGACCCATCAAGTGACTTCCATAGGAGGTGAGTGCACAGCAAATTTTCAGGTGTCTTGCTTCAAAGACACCTATTGCACAAGCTAATCTGTAAATAATTCACGAGTCTGCGCGATGAGAAGAAGAGTGGAAATTAAATACAGATTCAGAAAACAATACTCTACATTTTTTTGGGCATTAATATTAATTTATTACTGTGTAGTGTGGCCGTCAGACACGACATTGATACCCATAGGGTCTTCCCCCAAGTCACCAACAATCACAACACCTGTCATCAACCTAGACTGATACCGCGCTACATGAATTTGCAGGACCTTAAATTTCAAGTCGGCGAATCCAACAACATTCAGGTATATACTTCACATGGATTTGAATTACGATAATGAAGTACTTTGCCAATTTTTATCATATATTTATTTAATTATGACGTATGTATTGCCCAGATGATTCTGTACGATACGTTTTCCGTAAATGTCCCGATGAAGAAACCCAGGGAGAGTAAGAATCGATCGGCTACATCACGGAAGTCGAGAGAATCGTCCATCCTTGCGTCTCGTAGAGCTTCGTGCAGTTCAGATCATATCGACAATATCCCGGCTGAGGGCCAGCGTTCCGACAAGCTTTTCCGCTCTTCGAAGAATGGGAGTTGTTCAATTAACGACAAAAGTACATGCGCTAGGTACGTAGCGCACGGTCAGGACGACACTAAAGAGAATTTAGATCCGATCAGATCCAGAATGCTTTCGCGTAGCGATACATTTGATGATGTAAATTCGATGAACAATGTTGATGACGCAGTGACTATGAGTGATCGTTTCTGTGGCGAGAACAACAATGAGACCCGTCGCGTTTCCAGTGATACTAATTTAAGTGTAGTAAATGAAACAATTTATAATACGAATGTAGATAGCGTTACGGACGGCGTAACATTCGTTCCGAACAATTGCAACCAGGGTTTAGAGGGTGTACAGCAGCATAAAGCGTCCAATCATTCGCGCAACGCGATTTCCGCGTCTGCAGAAGATAGGCCCGGGGCTCGGCTATTTTGTAAGGAGAGTAATGGGCTAATACACAGTGTCGATTTTGATTTGAACGTTGTTAACATGAATAAAAATGTTGAGAAATTATCGCAAGATGATATCACTGTTCCGACAAGTCGGCATGTTAACGGCGATAGAATCGGCAATAATCATACAGATGATTCTCCAACGTTATGGAACGGTTACAAACCTTTAGATAGTACGAACGTTATGAGACCGAAGGTTAATAATCAGAATATCGCGCGCGTTTCGAACATTACGAGATTTAACGAACATAGTATCCTGAATAAGCAGATCGATGCGTGCGATTCTAGAAAATTTATTCGATGTGTAGGGTTGCAGGAGAATACCGTGCGTCGTAATGGCGAGACCAGAGCGAAAAATGATGATTTTTGTCTCAAAGTGAGCGTAGACTTGTCTAAGATACAAAACCTAATCGATTCAAAACCGGAATTGTTTGAAAATCGAAAGCATAACGCTAACGATCAGCGGTGTAAACGCACGAGTCGGTTACCCGGCCTGGATGACTGTGCTCGACAACAGGTAAGATATTATTGTGATATTGAGAGCAATGACAATATCGGCAATTGCTTGCCCAGAGGTAGGGAATTACAGAAGTCAAATTATACGTGTAACGTCGAACGCATGCAACAAGACGTTTTCCCCGGGGCGAATACGTTCCTACGGTATCAGAAATCAAATCAGGGAATTACAGACTTCGATAAGGATGTCTTGGACAGGTAGCGTTAACATAGAATACTCTGTATGATAAAATTGATAAAAAAAAATATGGGCACTGTAAAGCAGAAATTGTTGATAGTTATATTTTAAATAACTTGTAAAATATGCATATCTGTTAACGAATGAAACTCTTTATATCATTATCATGCGTTCGCGGAGCGCGCTATTAACGCTATTGCATCAGTCTATCGTTAATTAGGTGTAAAACAAGGATAAAATGACGCCAATAGCGCACTCCATGAATGCACCCGTAGGAATCATAGTATCATTAAATTTAATTTTTGATTAAATTTTATTTTCTGCTATCTCCTATCTTTAAATTGTAATTGCCAAATTCTATGTATTGATATATCGTTCTTTGATATCAAGATGTAATTTTTTATGTTTTAGTAATGTAATAAAATAATTTTATTTATAATTTTCTTATCTTTATTTTTTGTAATAAAGAATCAGATTAAATCCTATTTTCTTACTTGGTTAAAATTTCTTTTTTCTTTTTACAACTGTATTAAATTATGTCGTCAGAAGTAAGAAGCATGTTAATTTTTTCTTGCAATATACGTCGGAATAAATTTTTTTGCATATTGCATGTTCGATAATTCGATAAATTAGCTGAATTTTTTTTAGTTCACGAAAGTGTAATGATTCTCGATCCTTTATTATGAGATCCATTTTTGCTGGGATGTGTGGTGGGTGGTGTAATGTAGGAGACATGCAGATTGAACTATACGTATACAATAATGCAGAGTAATGTAAAAAAATAACACTATATAATTTAAACTCAAGCTATCAAACGAGCTACTTAGAACTTGATCTGTTTGTTGTTGAGATCTCGAAATCTATGCAAATAATGATATACTACGATGACCAATGCAAAATAAAGTAAGATTTCTCGCTTCTAATGCTATAATTCAATAGAGCTGCAATAAAGAGACGCAGAAGCTTAATTTTTTTTGTCACGGTTTTCAGTCATTTCATCAAATTTTTAAATATCGAAACAGATTAAACTTTTCTCTCACTAAACGTTACTAGTGAATTACAGAAACCAGTGAAATTTAAGAATTAGTGGATTGTAGAGTGCTCTTAGAAGAATAGAGAGAATTATTTTGACTTTTATAGTTTTTTTTTATTAAATCGATGGTTTACATATTATACCGCCGGATCATCTCCCTTAGTAGTACGTGTGTAGATAAGTTGCGCATGATGTTGCACGACTTGCTTAATCAAGCCTTTCTGCTGGAGTTCTATCAGCGCCCGTCTGGCGAGAGATCCCCTGATCTTCAACCTTTCGCTGACGATCGAGGGCGTGATCAGTTTGTACTGCGGTACTTCTTTCAACAGTTTCTCATACGTCGGCTTATCGAAGAGCACTTGATTGTTTAACTTGTCGCGTACTTTTCCCTTGGACCACTTCTGCAAGAATACAGGAAAATAGTGTCAGAATAAATGTTCCAATGTCGCAACATAAACAAATTTACGAGTAATTCAAATCTCATCAGACTCATTAAATCAGTTTTTGCTTCCACGGTTGGTCGAGTTCGCAAGTGCACATCAAACGAGATTAAATTGTTTAAAATTGTCTATCGCGAGCGTTACAACGAAGGGAGATACGAACCTTCTTCTTAGCCTTTCCCCCAGATCCACCTTCCTTCTTCTTCTGGGTCTTCTGAGGTTGCTTAGAGGAACCCTTCGTATCCTTTTTAGGCGGCTGTAACAATAACGGTCAAATATAAGATACATTCATAGCTAGACAAAGCTTAATTACGTCCGAGTTACAGTCAGACTCATTAAATCAGTATTTTACTGTCATAGTATTTATCTAGAAACTAGTTTGTCATCATAGATCTTAAGCCCATTCTACAATAGCCGTTAAAGTATGCATTAAGACTAAGCAGTAAGCTATTGACTAATGGGATTTTTACAATCCAAGAATGATCGACTGTAGTTGGTCAATTTTTACTACTTACGTTTTAACGTATACTTTTACGGCTATAAGAATGGGCTCTTTTTACAGAGGTTTAAATCCTGAGTATGGTAAAATGTTATCGCATTAACGTCGGACGAGTTAAGAAAAATTTTACAAGTTAATGCAGCTTTAGACGATGCCCGAGGTAAAAGAAGCTAAAGAAAGAGAACGATCAGTGATCCAGTGTCAATTCATTCTTTGTTCTTTTCTCTTGCCTAATGAGACAAGTGTGAAAGGGGAGGTTTTTCAATAGTTTCCTCGGTTGAGGAAATAAGGTGCCTTATACAACAAGTGTGGAATTCAGAGAGACAGGTTATGTCGTTGACGCAATAATCTCCAGTTGATATTTCAATGTACTCTTCAAATGTGATCGTTATCTTTCCTCTAGCGTTTAAATATTGTACTCGATATTCCTCTCTGGTGACCGAAAATACTGGAAGAATTAAAATATTCGGTGCGGCACATGGATCCCTCGACGGACGGGAAACGCTCGTCGCTCCGTAAACAAGAGATGCATCCAGCGCGTAATTTCCGACCAAAATTTGCCATTCTTCGCGAGGCTCTCGCGCCCTACGTGATAATCTATCGGGTTTACCGCGGGATCGCGAAAACGTCGCTCGAAAATTACACAATTATGCACCACGTGAACCTACCATTGTGGCTGTCGCGCGAGGAAGAGACTGGAAGAGACGGGAAGTCGGTCGTGGGCGCCATGCCGCCCATGGCGTGCGGTATCACTTCCGGCAGCGGCGGCGGCGACCGCGGCGCCGTTTACGTCGATCCAGCGCTACTAGAGGGTTGATAACCTAAAAAATAAAATTTCTTTATTCATGGTTGATAATAACCAGAGATAATAACCTCGCTTTTTTAAATTTCTTGGAATCTGGTTTATATATAGTACAAAATTTAATTATCCAAATAATCATAAAAGTAGTATCTCATCTGCAAAATATTTCTATACTCCTTTCCCATTGTCTTTTCATTATTTAGTAGCAAGAGTGTTATGCTTGTTTAGTATTCTTAATATGTACATACACAACAATACCAATAATTTTTATATTTTGTATCGAATGATGAGGCGAAGGAAATGAGACAATAGGTACGGCATCTTTTACCTTACGCTGTATTGCTTGCAGTTTCACATTTCGTGAAAGCTGGCGCTATGAACACTGGTAGAAATTTTTCCGTGAGACTTGCGACTTGCATAACCTGGGTACCACGTTGATCGAAATCGCGACGTGTGGACTGTGGACGTGTCGCGGGTAGGCGGGTCGACCGGGAAGCCGGGTATACGGGATAAGTCGACGAATTTTATTTCGGCTCGTTCGTTCCCGTCCAGTACGCCCGTAAAACCCGTTCGCGATCTCTGGGATCTCGTTTTTCCCCTCGTCGATCGACCGGGACCACGCGGCATGGCCACGCTTCTCCATCGTGCGTCTCCACACCGTTCGCGATTCGGTTCCACGCGCCTCTAACACAGCCCGGCATGCCGTACGGGACGGCGGATTGACGTCCGGCGTCGCTACAGGTGAGTCGAGTCTCGCGCGAGGGCGCGAGTTAGGTTAGGTTAGGATGCCCGCGGTCCTCGACGTGGACCCGCGGACGTGTCCGGTCGTGCCGCGCGTATGTTGGCATATGTATGCATGTTGTACGCATGCATGCATGAGTACACACATGTACGTGTTGCTCCAATTAGCGAACCTGATCTGACGCGTGTCAAACAGCTGCGCGTGCCGCGTATCGGCGAGCCGCGACTGGCTTTTGATCAATTGTCCGGCCTCTACGGCTTTGTCTCCACGTTTCTCGTGTCTCCGGAAAAGGCTCCGGAGTCCTTGATCGTTCCGCAGCGGCAGGTGTGCGTCTGGCCGTAAGAATTGAAGATTTCCGGACAGTTTACCACCGGCGGGACGGGATGTCTTCTGGTCTTCTGGTCAACATATGTACGTAGCCGCGGTGTACACGTTGACGGAAATGTAGACGGTTGCTCCGCTGTTTAGCTCGGAAACTATAAATGTAATTGTTAATAAAAACGCGCGACTATTATTTGGCTCGTCTTTGCTTTATTTTAACGTCGAATCTTTATTTTGGGGTCTTGGGCCGGTATTCGTAGTCCGTTCTTATTCCAAGACCGTCTTAAGATGTTGAAATGGCTCCACGATTGGTTTATGACATCTTAAGATTGCGCTTGAGACGGTAAATATAAGAACCGATGATGAATATCGTCCTTTATTTTATTTTGTATACACGCCTCTTGTCACGACACTGGACTTTCTTCCTTGCAGGACAGATTTTAGACGAGCCTGAGCTTGTTAAGATCAGCGTGACTCCGAGATGCTGCCACTTTCGCACAGCCCGCGCGACTCGCGCTCCAACTTCCGCAGCAGGATCAAGGAGAAGCTGCTGAGTTGGAAACGCCTCATCTTCTCCGACCCAAACACCCGCAATCTGTTCCTGTTTCTCATTCTCAATCTGTCCTTCGCCTTCGTCGAGCTGCTGTACGGGATATGGACCAACAGCCTCGGCCTAATCTCCGACAGTTTCCACATGTTCTTCGACTGCACCGGCCTGCTGTTCGGTCTAGCGGCGTCCGTTATCACCAGGTGGCGGGCGAACGACAGATACTCGTACGGATACGTCAGGGCCGAGGTGTTGGGCGGCTTCGTAAACGGGCTGCTCCTACTGTTCATAGCCCTGTTCATCATGTCCGAGGCGGTGGAGCGAGCCATCGAGCCGCCGGAGATCAAGCACGAGAGGCTCATCGTCGTCTCCGTGTTGGGACTGTTAGTGAATTTAGTAGGGATATGCGCATTTAAACACGGACACGCCCACGGGCACGGAGGACACGGCCATAGCCACGGTCACAGTCACGGCGGGAGAGGAGGACACCACGGTCATTCTCACTCCCAGAATCACGACGAGAGATACTCTCTCCTGAATCACAACGACCACTACGACCATCACGTCGAAGTGGAAACGTCCTTCAGCGGTACGAATTCGCAAATCATGAAGGGCGTGTTCCTACACATACTCGCGGACACCCTCGGCTCGGTCGGGGTAATCATATCGGCGGTGCTGATGCAAATGTTTGGCTGGATGATCGCCGATCCGATTTGCTCCATGCTCATAGCAGTATTGATAGTGTTAAGTGTGATCTCGTTGCTGAAGGAGTCGTGGGAGATACTTATGCAGAGACAGCCGGTAGCCTTGGATCACGTTCTACCGCAGTGCTACAACAAAGTTACGCAGATACCCGGCGTCTACAGCGTGCAGGAGCCGCACTTTTGGACTCTGTGCTCGGACGTGTACGTCGGATGCCTGAAGCTGGAGGTCGCCAGAGAAGTCGATCCCAAGTCCGTCGTGATGACGACGCACAAGATTTTCCAGTCGGCGGGCATCAGACAGCTCACCGTCCAGCTCGATTACGCTCCTATGTGATCGACGAAAGGCATGACGTGCATCGCGGAGTGTTGTTGCGAGTATAACGGAGGTGATGCGTCTGTCTGCAGACTTTGTCACGAGGGGACGGGGAACATGGGAGCGCCGCAGAATGTCTTCGCTACGTCAAAAATCTGTGATTGTGCCCATTGGAATGGCAATCGGTATCATCTCGGACTACAGATTGTTTGAGGACCTGGCATGCCTTAGAAAAACTGCTGACACGGGGCGATTGAGAATTCCTAAAGAATTTCTAATCGAATCAAATCGTTAACTTAAACCGCGCAATTTCTAAAACACGATGTATGATGGAAAGATGTATTTCGCATATTAGATACTTCTAAGAACGGTCAGTTACATTCTCTTCTCCGGAACAAGTGTCTCTGTTTGTTCATCTTTTATATAAATACTTTACCTCTGTCGGAGCAAAGGCTTATCTTTGTTTACATTGAGCCTTGAATTGTAATTACTCATTACAAGTGAGCATTTCAGATCTAGGTTAAATTTAGCTATATCGTAATGTAAGAGTAGCGTTGCTTAGATTGCCTTAGATTTTTTTATTTTTGCAATGATACCTTGAGGTGCGTTTGTAAGAATATTTTTTAACGAGACTTCCGAGAACAAAAGATAGTGCTGATTCTTACGTAATTTATATAACATAACTGTTTGAGACAATTATCTCGTTTCTATAAAATTATATTGTTGTATAAGTTCGAAATGGAATCATGTGTAAGAGCCACGCAAGCGGCCATAACAATCTGGGGACAGCTATAGAGAGCTAGTCATATCTGTGCGAGAAATGAGGAAAGTAACGTATGTACAGTGAATAACGCGCATAACGTGAAAGGAGTACTTTTACATGAAAATATACCTACCAATTTTTATACAATGATCCCAAAAGAGAGGTTGCTATTTGTATTTTTCCGTCCATGCTAAGTATTACCTTCCTCGTTACTGTAATACTTTGAACTCAGAAACGTTTAACTTAGCATGCGTGGACCATTTGTTGAGTAACCGTGCCGGTTATGTATGCACAATCTGTTGGACGAATTTGTGTAATATTATTTGTATATAATTATGTTATTAGGCTAATGCCGATTGTAGCCAAATAAATGGAATATTGCAAGTTAACGACGTGAGAGAGAGACCGAAGCTCGTGCCAGAATCCAAAGGATCTGGACGAGAGAATCATAAAATATTTCCTCCTTGATTTATACCATGCAGAATACTTTCTTCCTAAACGCAATGTGAACGTCTTGGATCTTCGAGAACGCCGATGATTAACACGGATGATTAAGAAATCATTAAAATGCGATATTTCCTAAATCTTAACTTCACGATTACGTGATAGACGATTAAACGCGAATTTAGACTAATGATTTCGTCGCATTTCTGAGAGATAAAGGGATCGTTAGCGATCATAGCGACTTTTACATTCCGCGTGTGTATCATGTTAATATATATTATAATGTGCATTAATTTGTATTATAAACTGTATATTATAATATATTATAATGTAATAATGCATTATATAATTTATATTGTAATATATATTAATATATATGCGCGCACAGATGTCAAGGCATTGATTTCGATTCTGATGACGCAGGCCAATATGTTAATTGTGTTATGAATAATAGGTCATCACAATGGAACCTTCGAATATTTGATTATTTTATGAAGAAACATCTATCACTCATCGCGTGTCAGGCGCGATGATTAACGTTCTTTGTTTAGATTAATCGAGCGCCAATGAGAGAGTGTCTGCTATAACACACAAGAGAAAATGTGATTATGGTACGCGAGTCTTGTTACGTTTTCCTAATTACTCTCATTGTATATAGATTTATAAATGCGCGGATTGCGTGTGAGATTTTATTATAAAAAAAAAGAAATGTGTGTAAGTAATAAAGATACACATTTGCAATACAGGCTCACGCCGTCTTTTAACAATTCGCTACTTCCGTATGCCTGTTCGAATAATCATCGTTAATTTTTTAGGATTGTCTAATTTTTTTTAACTTGTGATAAATGAAGGTTGTTTAATTTATCAATGGCGGCCTATATTATTAGCTACTAATTGAACAATCGCCAAGTTCTCAAGTTCTGCGCAAGTTCCTAACTTTTTACATATCGCATTGACGAATTTAGATATTCCTCTTTTCATCTTAATGATAATTGCAATAATGTGAAATAAAGTCATAACCGATAACTCTGCCGAGTTCCTCCTGCAAGCTCGTCCACATTTGACAGGGTGCTTAAATCATGACTTGCGACTATTGAGACGAAGTTTTCAAACACATATTACATTTATTTGGAGAGGATATGTGTACACATATAAATACATAAATATTTATAATAAAATTACTCAAGTTGATTCCACATGTGGGTACGTTGGGCGCTTATCTCGCAAGTCGCCGCGGATATATCGCTCGGCCAGCGTGTATTTTATATATGTATATTTCTGCGGATGTTCCTCTCTTTCTCTTTCTCTTTCTCTCTGTGTACGTATGTGTGTAACATGAGTTTCAGTCTTGCCGAGTGTTGGCTTCCTCGTAAAACGGTCTCACAAATGTTTAACAAGTCGCGCGGTGATCATTCACATCGCGCCGCGCGGTATAATCGAAGAGACTCTTATGTACATAGCAAACTATCAAAAATGACAAAATTCGTCGTACACACGCTCGAGCGGGAGCACTTACGTATCTAGTCGGACAATAAAGGATTACGCGGGATGGTACTGTAGGTCCCGGAAAAACGTGAAAAGGGAGAGAGAGAACTCTCAATAGGAGCACTCTTCTCCGGAGTGCCGGTCAAAAGCCCGAGATCAAGCAGAGTGATCCTTAATTATATATATTTAAATTTTCAGGGATAAATTTAGGATCCAAAACAAATATATACATATAGTTATTATTAGATGTTTTAAAATATTAAGAAATGGAGGGAATATAATTGTAATGCATACCTATAGGTATGTATGTCTATACATATATTGCAATTTTATAGTATCATTTAGTGGTACTTCAAAATGGCTAATGATAATTTTATATGCGTAGTCACGTAAATTTTTTTCTTGTCTTGACCCTAAAGAGGTTTACTTTCTTAGATGTTGACATATAATTAAGGATCACTCTGCATGTTAGAATAAAAATGGAACTTTTTTCTGATATTTATAGGCTTTAATTTTTCTTGGATAAAACATCGAGACAATAAGAAGTTTAAAACTGTGTAAATAATTGAAAGTAAAACTTATTTTCTCAGAATTTTACTTTTCGAGAATCAATTATAAGGCATTTAATGTTAAATACTTTAAAGATACAACAAATTCTTTTTTTTTTTAATATTTAATATTAAATTCTTCCATTCATTAATTAAATTTTGAAGGCGAAACTAAAGTTTCAATAAAATCATAATTAGATTTTATAATAAAATAAAGATCTAAAAATATCTGCCTATATTATCATATATGTATAAGGCATTTAATGTTAAATACTCTAAAGATACAACAAATTATTTTTTTAAAAATCTTTAATATTAAATTCTTCCATTCATTAATTAAATTTTGAAGGCAAAACTAAAGTTTCAATAAAATCATAATTAGATTTTATAATAAAATGAAGATTTAAAAATATCTGCTTATATTATCATGAAGATATTTAAATATTTATATTTTACCTTATAAGATATCAATTTTTTTATAATATTATACGTTTATAATAAATGAATGGCAGACTTTTGACCAGCGCTCTGTACAAGACGGAACTTAAAGATCAGCAAAGATTCCTCCGCGTTTCGCAGATCGTTCCCTTTTATTTTCATTGGTTGTTCCAATTGAATGGCAGTTATCGTTGGCGCACCGATATTGATCACGATCGATCGATCGCGATCACGCTGCGAAAAATTGTTCTCGGCTCGTTTAAAATGCGGTCTACTTTTGTCGCGTGATCGTAGAAACGATCCTTCCTAAAACGTTTGCGCGACATCGAAAAACGATACTAGAACTCTCGTAGCCCGCATTTAGCGTTAAACGTGATCGAGCGACTATCGGTCCATGGGACGTGATGAGTTGCTTCGCGTGAAAACGGTTGATTCGCATTCGCTTGAGAACTCGGGTTCGATCCCGAGTTTCATCCTACATTCACTCCTGAAAAGGAGGAAGGTTTTTCAGATTCATAATCTGCATTTAAAGCGCAAAGGACGATTTCATTATATGTAATAAAATTGTGTACAGTTCCTATTTTTGGAGTGGCACAGAGAGATGTGCCTATTTATTATTTTTTTCGATCCTCGCGATCCCTTCTGCATATGATCTGTACGCGAGATGTATGGGGATCTACGCCCATTTGACGTTGATTCCGAACAGTCTTCTATAGAGGGATGGGTGTTCATGGCAAGACACTTTCGGTGGATTGCCTGCCTCTTCCTTTTCCGAGAGGTGGCGATCGAATAAAAACTAACTCGATTTAAACTCGGATCTTCGGCCCTCAGAACCGCGCAACATCTCTCTGCGCCTCACTCTCATCGCGAGGCGACTTTTTTCTTCTTTTTACTAGGCAAAAACCTCAAAACGTCGAGTTTAGCGCTAATTGCGGCGCGCAAAGAGCGCGGATCTTCAAGTATTACGATTTGGCAGTCATCTTAATTACAATAATTAATTACTTTATACAACAATAGCCTGCGTCGAGTGCCTGCTTATATGTATCTTCTATCGTAAGAATTACGAGTATTCGAGACTTTCTTTCCTTTCACGCCGTCGCGAAAACGCACGTACACATCATGTATGTATGCGTGTTGTTTTTTTCCTTCATGTGCCTACCGTTTAAAATTTACTCTATAAAATTTCTCCAAATCCCCAACAACGCGCCACCCACTCGGTAAAGCCACCCGCATCTCGCCGATCGCGAATGACGGTCGATTGTAACATTTAATAATATCGTGACGATCGTGATGTGATCTATATCGCTAATAATATATTACTCTGAATCGTATCTTACATCTCCATCTAACAACAACGAACGATACTTATGTAATCGCAACAGCCTCTTTTTTCTTCGCTTTAACATCCCTCTTTTCTTGCGCGATGAGTATTTCCATATTTCCCTTTTGTTTTCGCTCTTCCCCGCCAAAAAATGTCGAGAAGATTATTCCTCCACGCGGCATCGAATATTTCCAATCTTGTTTATCAAACGGAATCAATTTTCCCGAGTGATAATGAGATTCACACGTAAAAAATTTATTGGCTACAATTAAAATTGCATAAACAGATGAAGCAAACGCAATCTTGCTCCTATTCGTTGAAACAAATACTGCGAGATATATGAACGAAGATAATTCAACTTATTATGCCTATGAAAGTAAAGAAATTTCATAAACAATTGTAGAAGATATATGTAGAAAAATATGAAAAATAAGAATAATTGTATATTTTAAATACGTCCGCATGTCAAGATTATTAACATCCGTCCTGCTAACGATAACGCTCGCAACCAAGTATTTTTGAAATAATCGTTTTAAAATAAGAGACAGAATTTCATATTTTTAAACAGACGTTTTTACATTGGCATCATTTTTATTTACGCGACGCAATTTCGACGAAAAATGATGCCGTCAAAAATCCTGCTAAAACAGCAAAATTCCTAGACCACTATTGATTGCGGGTTTGCGCTCCTTTTAGTATCTTTAGTTTCTTGAACGCGTTAGATGAATGAAGCGCGGTGCAGCTCCCGTTTTTCTTTCGAATCGTTCTCGAGATCTAATAAATCGCTATAATCTATAGAGTCTATATCGTAGGTGAGCGCGCTTGACGCGCAGGAAACGAAATCACAGTAAGACGAAAATCTGCAAAGTTAACCCGCATTTCCCTCTTTCGTACCCTCTACATCTTTTATTTAGCTTCTTCTTTATTCTACACGTGTCTCACGCGGCCGAGATCGACGTCGATGCTCGACACGCTCTCTCTTCGATATCCGTCGCTCCTGGAAAATCTACATTACATCTTCGTCTTATCTAATCCCTTTTCCGATTCTCCGGGCTTCCCCGCTCGCTCCTCCGCGTCCCTTCCGTAGCACGATCTGTTGACTTAATCCTTTATCTCCGCGTATACCTTCTCCACTTTCGATCTCCCGGAACTCTCCCAGTTCCACAGTCACGTCCGCGAAGAGACCAATCGATCTCCGTTTCGATCGACCTCTCTTCGTTCTCCTTTACCTCGCGGTAAAACTGTGTGTGCCAGGATAACTTCCTCCAAATTATCGATCCCCTCATTTCTTCTTGCCCCGGCCGCCCTTCTGGAGCTTCGTGATCTTCAGGCGACAGTTGGAGCCGCCGGTATAAACCACCTCCGTTCTGCCGCCCTCCTCGGCCGCGGTCACCAGAGCCTTGACCGATCTCACGTGCACGTCCTTGGCGCTGATCTCCAGGGTGGTGCCAGGGTAACGATCCCGCACGCACTTACCCACGCTGGTGGCCTGCGTCTCGGTAAGCTCGACGCCGTCCAGGCACAACCAGGTGAGACACTGCAAGTGCGTGAGGATCGTCTGCACGAACACGTGTTCCATCTGCACGCGCTTGGCGCTGTCGGTGACGATCAGGCCGTTCGCCCTGAGGAAGCTCAGGCCGCACAGCTTGAGGTGCTTGGCGATCTGTCGCATCGTACGGTCGCTGTCCTCCAGGGTGACCCGCCAGAAGTTGATCCGGAGCGACTGCAGGCTGCGGAAGTGCGCCGCCAGGCAGCAGAAGAACTGCTGCAGGATCTTGTCGTCGATGAAGAGCAAGGAGCCGCTGCTGCCGCCGATCGTTGATTTGTCCAGCGACAGGTCGAGCTCGCTCAGCGACGTGAAACCCGCCAGGAACGGCAGCAGCAACGGGCCGCGCAGCGCCAGGCGATCGTTCACTGTCACCTGCAATCAGAAATAATTCCATCGGCTGATCTTATCGGGCGCAATTTGTTTCGGGCTCGTTTACAGGTTGAGAGATAAAAAAGAGAGAGGGACATACAGAGTGTCACGGACTTGGCAAGCAATTTCTCATCTCTATGAGCTTCTCCGATTAATTTGGTTTGGTTTTTTTTTCTTCAGTCTTCAAGCGACAAGCGATCGAAAGAAAAACGGGAACTGAATTTCAAAGAGTGTCTGTTTAATAACAAAATTTTAATCTTAAATGAAGTTTAACAATCTCAAAATTAAAACTTTTAACAAAATCTTTCGATTTGTTTAAGAACCTGAGAAGGTAAATTTCCGAGAAAAAATCTAAGTTAGCTTAATTTCTTATGCCTTCAAAAAAGACGTTAAATCATTGTTAGACCTTTCACTAGAGAATTAATTAAAATATAGGTACTTAATTGAAAACTTAAGGCAAGCAAAGACGTATCTTCGTTAAGGAAAAACCGAATTGCAAATTGGCGAAGATGAGAATCGTGGCCGCAAAGTTTGGTAATTTATTTTAGGGATATCCCGTACGGAGGCGAATTAAGGGGATGGAATTGGGGGTCGGTTTAATGCGAGAGACTACGAAGACGAATGTCGGTCCGGGCCGTCCTTTGTTTATCGCCATCGCGGTGCGGCCGACAGTAATTGCGCATGTAATAGAAAATATATGACTTATAGATAAGGGAGGATAGGGACACGAGATCTGGCGGACGTTCCGGGCACGGAATTGGCGCTCGCGATGTAAAATGAGATAGTTACTTCAGTATCATCCTTTCTTTTTCATAAGTATAATGAATGGGCTTTTTTATTCGGATGAGATATAGCTGAAGATTATTTTCGAATATACATTAGGAAAGGTTTGCTTTTATATTTTTATGAAATTCTATAATCTCATTTGTGTAAAAAATATCAGTGTCACATGGAAAGTTTTCTCTAATCTAGTATCTTTGAATGATTAAAAATAAAAGTAGATTAGATCTAAAATGTTATTCCAACGTTGTAAAGATATTGTGGACTTAAAAAGAGTCAATTAAATGTTTTATAAAGGTTTTTTATTTGTATATACGCACTTTTTACGGATATAAAACTTTCTTGTGCAAATTGGATCACTATACTCACGTGTTATCCAATCTATTTTCAGCCGTTGCTTCAAATAGCATCAATTAAAAATTTTCTCTTATTAAATTATATTTCAAACAATGATATTTAAATATCCTACATAGTTGTTAAATAAAAAAAATCTTCAGAGAAATAATAAAATAGTGCACATTCAGCGCACGTCGCGCGTCGATTCATGCGTAACTGGAGCGTTCATTCGTTAGCTTTAAATTGCTCTCATTTAAAAACAGTAGCTCGAATGCAATTCTGCCGGAGGAAAACGAATTTTTCGCTTCTTTCTGGTATCGAGAATCTGTGCGTGAATTCTGGGACGTTCTATATATGCAGGCTAAATGATAATTAATATCTGGCGCTTTTCTGCCTCTCCACAACACATTTCAGGATTTTTCAGAGTTTCTCATTCAGAATCCGGAATCAGACTTTCAGTGAAACGATATTAGGAGACGTTACATGGGCGCGAGCACGTTCGCAATTTCCCAAGATCAGAATTACCCTGGAGGAAGAGAGGGGAGGGGGCGGAAGGGAGACGATATTAGACGACGGGAACGCGATACTCGGTGTACCAGCGGGCTAACCGATTTTCTTCGTGGCGTGTTTCACGGAGACCGTAACGGGGATCCATTTTTCAAACGGGACGAATCATCTCTCCACGAGAGAAGGGACTCCGCGCATCAGGAGCTGTTCCGCGGGCTGGATAGAGAGACGCGGGTGTGTCTAATGGTTCTAGCCCAGATCCCGGGAACACGATAGCTACACAGCCGACACAGCGCCTGTACATCCCAGGGATACTCGGGTCGGTAGAGACAGTCAGTAGACAGCTACATCTGCGTCTACTGCGTCTACTGCGAATCGCGATGATGCCGTATAGCCCCCCCGTATACGTATCTGTTATCTTCCCGTAATGGTACGGGCGTCCGGATATGCACGGTGCATTCGAAGACGTGTAACTGCATCAGCAAATGGTCAAAGCTTCGTACGGTTAGTCCGGTATAATAGGATTGCACATGTCATTGCGGCATTGTTGCGCTACGCGATCCAGTTCGTAAGCGAGTTGCAGGTGAGTTAGACCGTTTCAAGGAGATTTCCCACTAATTATTTTATACTCCATTTCACCGTAATACCGTGTAAGGCAACTCGAAGCCATTTATTACAGTCCGATTGTTTAATGTGCAAACTACGATGACTTCTATGAACATTAAAGGTATGGATAATAATCGAGATTTCGACGTAGAAAAATTGATTTTTCGATTTGAAAAAAATGGTTAATTTTTTTCTGCTAATTGTAAGAATAAAGGCGACAATAAAAGATTATCGGTGATTTTTGTTGTGCTCGATTTTTCGAGGAAAATTTGAGGATAAACGTCTGCTGATGACGAGATATCCCGCGAGAGGAGAGTGTTCACTCACTTGAAATCCGGCTAGCCTCAGGAAGACGATCGCGGGACAGGCCGGAGGTGGTGCGGCTCGCAGGAGCTCGGCGCCGGCGTCATCGCGACGTCCTAATCTCGCCAGAGGACCCTCGTGCACCGCTAAATGCAAACGCGCGTTGCATAAGCTCAACTCACGCACGCTTGTGTATCGAAGCAGCTCGGAGAACACTGCTAGACTGTCAGATTCCTGTGAAAAATAACGACTACAATTAGCATATCTTCCACACTGTTGAATATTGAAGGATGAAATTTGAATCAATACTGTGTTGAATGAAATTTTGTTATTTTTAACTACTATGTGTATATACCATCAAAATTTATTATTTTAACACAAAACAGTATTATTTTAATAATGGTTTAGTTAAATTAACAACATATTGAGCAAGAGCAGTGGCGACTTATAAGAACAGTTAAAAATATAAGCATAATTTGATAGTGGGTATAAAATATTAAAAATTAGAGAGAAAATATTAAAAATTAATAATGTCCGAACGGTGCATCACATAAGATCAAAGGATTGTAGTTCCGGTTTTAATTAGATATCTTTTAATTGTTAAAATACGGCGTCTTTTTTAGAACGAGATGTTCAGTCAATATAATCAACGTAAAATATAAAAATTCCCTCCTTCCTTCAATAAATTAATTTTAATCTATTTCAATAAAAATTTCATTTTCCGCTGCTAAATAAATGCGAGGCTTGATGCAGCCATCAAGTCGACGCCCGCCTGAGACATCCGGCCGCTGGTTGCGGACCGCGCGCGCTCAACCGCGCTTTGCATCCCAATATTGGGCGATGTTGCAGCAGCTATTACGCTAAAATGCGCAAAGTGGGTAAACGCTTCTCCTAAATCGCGCGTAAACGACGCGGACCCGTGAAAATCTCGCGGAACGCGAGATCTCGGGATCTCGCGCTATAAGCGCGCGGCAGCGGCATGGCATCCGGCGCTTCAGGGTTCGCCAGGGATCTCCGGCTAATCCCATCCCATTCGACACGGAGCGGCGCCGCCCGTGTCTCGGCTCCACACGCCCCGACTACCACATCTCGCCCGACCTAATCCGCCACCGAGAATGTCGTTAAGTCGGATGGAGAGGCGTCTTAGCGCGCTCGCGCCTCGACGATCTCCTCGCCCCGAGACTACACGGCAGGCGATATTACGTTATTCCGGCAATGAAACGCGGGAGGGAGAGAAACCGCGCGACGTGGATTATATACGTGAATTCGCCGAGGGGGAAACGCGGTGACGCGGGGTTAACAAGGTGCGACTGATCCGTCGAAGACATCTCTCTCTCGCGCGTTAATTGAGAATCCTCTCGAGGATGAGCTCGCCCAAGATTTTCTGTCGAGTTTTCTTCTCTTTTGTGTAATATGCATTTAAGGCCGCGTTGAACATATCGTTGAATTTGATTTCCTCTCGACATTCACCGCACAAGAAATTAAATAAAAAATGCAGAAGCCGGAGGAGCGTTCGACCTTGAGGGGGGAAGGAGGGGGGGGGGGAGATCGAGAACGGGGTACGAGCGGTACCGTTTCATTATGCAGAGAACGTCGTTGCACACACAGGGAGTATAGCGAATGCGTCTCACGGGAGCGGCGCGAAGAGAGCGTGTTCTCGGGTTCTCTATGGAAAACTGTGTAAGCCGGAAGCTGCCTCTCTCCGCTTAGTTTACGCGCCGTACGTTAGACGCGCGCGTTCATTAATAAGTTAGCTTTACTTTCGAACTCCATGAGAGATTTATGCGAATCTCGAGCGGCATAAATCAATCTCAAGGCGGCAGACGTTGACGGCGAATTTTTTTCGAAGCAGATACGCGATGCTGCTTTCTGATTATTCTATATTAATCGAGCTTGATAACGCATAATAATGTTATATAATAAACATTTATGTATATGTGTGTGTATAAATTTTTTAATAGTAAATATTAAAAAATATTTCTCGAGGATTAAAAAGAGTCTGATTTTTTAACGTCAGTTAGAGATTATATGTATTCTATTCTGTTATGTAAGCTTTACATTCCAAATTAGAAACTTGAAAAATATAATTAATGCTATCTATATGGGTTTCGTATAAAAATAATTTACATGCTTCGCGAGACATGTGCTGAAAAATTTTTAATATTTAAAGTCTTTTAAATTCTAGCGTTCCTAATAAAATTCTTTTAGCAACGATTTTATTTAAAAAATCCGCATATATTTTTATTTATTACCTTTTAATTCTATTGAAGAAGATTTAAAAGCGCGCTGAAAAGTTAAATAAATATTGCTTCCATATATTACATTAAATATCCCTTCAACTGAAAATTTAGGGATGATAACATTGATAGAATATTGTCACGCTGATTTCTTTTTTTTAAGGGGAGGGAAGGGGAGGAAGCAGGGCGTGATTAAAGCGCAATTTAAAAATACATATTTGTTAATATAAAAAAACACCAATGTCGCCGTTTTTCGATTTGGCTCAAGTACACCGCGCGGTCGCGCGACGATTATTCCGTGTTCCGCTGGGCAAACAGAATCGAGGGTGGATTCCATTCTCGGAAGGATGTCCTCGACAGTCCATTTATCTGGCTTGACCCAACTGGCGTATCCTGAACGAGAATGGGAAAAAAAGAGGGTTCCGAAACTGAGGGACTCTCGAGATGTTTACCGCGCTTTGATAGATTATTGCATTATTGCACGTAGCACGACGACAGTGATATATCTATAATCGATTTCATGACATTTCTATGATTATATAATTTATAAGATAATTTCTAAAATGATTCTATATTTGTTATGATTGCTATACAAAGGCAAAGGCAATGCTATATGGCGCAGTAATACTCTGTGACTCCTGAAATGTTTGACTCAGAATTCAGGACACATCGTTGAAACTTTGGCTATCTCGAGAGCCAGGAAATACCTTGTATATATTTTCATAGTTTGTCCACCATAGTTTCGATCGTGCGATATGCGCGAAACTCTGAATTTCCGCGTACGTGTACGTCTCCCAAGATTATGTTATACTTTGCGATATATATATCGTGCCTTCCTCAATAAAGTTTCTAAACCGGATAAGAGATCTATAACAACAAGTCATACAAGTTTATCATTTTGGGTCACAGATTCTCGTTATCACTGACCCAATTAGATTATCTTCCAACTTCTTTCCTGTCTATCGAAAAATAACATCATATTAAGAATCAAGATAGAGTATCAAGGTATCTATTTATTTATTTAATTTCCGACAAGGTTCTCAGTTTTAAATAAATATTTCGACAACGTACTCAAATATTCAACCAGAAATAAAATTTTAAATTTAATTCATTGAAATATATGTGCTCGCACTCAATCAGTCACATCGTTGAAAATAATCTCTGTGAAAGATTTATATATTTTCTAAAATATTCAGACGTCACTCCTTAAACGTACAATGCAAACAAATGCGCGAAATGAGAGCCGAAGTGCAGAGCGTCCTTCGAGATTCACCTCATGCATGGAGATTTCGAAGTAACGCGGGATTTATTGTTTGCTAACCGTGATATTTACGAGCGGCGATATTTATCGCTTCCTGACTGAAGCGCTCGTTGACGAGCGTCGCTTCCTGGGGGATCGCGTTCTCCAGGCTCGGCTCGCGAGAGACGATCCCGGCCCCGGTGTCATCAGCGCGGAATTCGGCACGCGGCACGGAAGAACGCGGCGATGAATAAACATCGCGCTGAATTCGGTGCCGTCGTCGAGATCAAACGCGGATGAGACACGCGCGCGTGTCTATACCTACGTGCCCCGAATCTGTTTTTTTTGAGAAACGTTCGAAACGAAACCCCATGAACCGTCAGCTGCATCGTCGAGAAATCGTGTTTGACGTTATTTCGCGGCGGGCGCGCGACTCGTCAGCGAGAGGTTTTTCGCCGCGATCGCCGTTGGAAACGTAACTGGATCGGGATTGATAAAACCAGAGAGACACACGGAATAATATCATCCAGGATTTAATAATCGAGTCAAAATATCGTATCGATATCGAATATATAACGTTTGCGCGAGCTTGCATGTGTACGTAAACTCCCAATCCCCAATTCCCAACTCTAAACTTCGAATTCTCTCCTGTGTCTCAATTTTCAGCTACTAGCCATCAGCCCGTAAACTCTCAATTCTCGTAATCTGAACTGGAGTTATAAAATTTATTTATGGCCAATGCAAAGCTCATGAAATTGAAAAATATGCCTCCCAGCGGAATAAACGATTTATATGAACATTTATATGTATTACCTATTTATTGTTATAAACGGATTTGTATATTTTACCCTTTTTGTTTCGATTCAAATATATTAATGGTGTTCAATGTGTAACCTAAAAATGTTCGGATGAATGATGAATAAAATGTACGTACGTCACAAGGAATTTGTTGTCTCATTTGACGCATAAAAAAAAAATATATATATATATATATATATATATATATTATATAAAGAAGAAGGATGTCGTGTCATGGGCAAAATAACTCGCATTGTGCGAGATATTTTATGCATCATTTTTCATAAAGAAGACTTTTTGTCATAAAACTTGTTCGCTTTTGACATATATCCAACTGTAACATTTAAAAATATTACTTTGCCCTCAAATACACTAATTAATTTTATTCATAGTTATTTGCGATATTAATCTTTAAATCAAAATCCAAATTTGTTCTCCAAAAATATTTTAAAACGGTTAAACTCTGAAGATAATTTCTTTCCAAAAAAATATGATATAAAAATAATTTAAAAAAATAAAACAGATATTTTTTTACATAAATTCTTTAAAAACTGACAGGGGACTGTTTTCGTTAACTTACCCGAGAATAACAAAGTAACGGCAAACGATAAAAACTCTTTAAGTAAAAAACAAATTACAGCAAGTATCAGCAAAAAAAGAACAGGAATTTTAGCATGGAATGAGCGTGAAACTGCAGTGTTTTTCGCAACGCCGTGGCACGAAAAGTCTCTCACTGTTTTCTCCTTTGGAAGCTTTCCCGAATGGAAACGTGAATGCAAAAGTTTCATTCCACTTGCTATAGCGTTGTGAACGAACCGAAAAACCACCTCGGATAAATAACAAGTCGAACGTAATGATATAAATAAACGAATCTTTCGTTGAAAAATCATCTTTTTAAAAAATGTCTGTATGCATGTGTGTAGGTATATATATTCCACAATAAAATACAAATAAAAATA